TTTTCTGAAAGCTAGTTTTATCACCTTTAAAATGCAATTTTTAAAATTTTTATATGATAATTTTTAAGAAAAATATAATTTTTTGTTTAAAAAATTAGCCATTTTTTTCAATTATTGATAACTGAAAAACGGTTACTTTAGGAAAAAAATTTTAAGAACATAAATTGTTCCTTTTTGTGTGCAGAATTAGAAAAAAAATATTAAAATATTTTTTTTTCATTTTTTATATTTTTATGTTTTAATTGTAGAAACTCGCTTTTCACACTCACTTGTGATAATTATTACTAGACCGACATTATGATGACAATCGTCAAAGTAATTAAGAACCTTTAATCCGTTTACAAACAATATAATAAATAAGTATTATATCAAAAGTTATTTAAAGTTAAAATTATTGAAAAAAATTAAATAAATACGATGAAAAATTTTCTTGCTTGTTGTAGTGAGTAAAAAAAGCGAGTTTCTACAATTAAAACATAAAAATATAAAAAATAAAAAAAAAATTTTTTTTTTTAAAAAGTCAAAAAAAATTTTAATATTTTTTTTCTAATTCTGCACACAAAAAGGAACAATTTATGTTCTTAAAATTTTTTTCCTACAGTAACCGTTTTTTAGTTATCAACAATTGAAAAAATGGCTAATTTTTTAAACAAAAAATCATATTTTTCTTAAAAATTATCGTATAAAAATTTTAAAAATGCTTTTTAAAGGTGATTAAACTAGCTTTCAGAAAATATGTGTTGGATTAAAGTGCGACCATTTTCTGTCAAACTGTATCACTTTAAAAAAACGAAAAATTTTATGTTGCAATAACATTTTTTAAACATAAACAAATTAATTTTTTTAATTTTTGTTTTATACAGCTTAAAGCTCAGGAAAAGAGCTTTAAAAAGAGACCTTTTTGAGCTTTTTTTTTAATAATAAACAAAATACAAAACTTTTTGTAAAGCCTACGCTACTGGTCCTAACCTAAAATCCGCCATTACATTCCCTCGACCCCTCTCCCTGCCTCGTCTAATGTTCGGAAGTCTAAAGTTCGGGGGTTTCAGTGTATTGCAAAATATCGATATATCGATAGTGAAACATCGATAGTATAAATGTCTCGAAATAAAAATATCGATTCTTCTGCAGGAAACCTTTAAATATACATAATATAATGTTTTTAAATAGTTTTAATGAAACGGCGTAGCTTCCGGCATGCCCTACACTTAGGTACCCCATTCTGCCCGACACTGCATATTAAAACAAAATGTAATGTTTCGAAGTTATGGTAAACAATTTAACAATCTATTCTATTGGAAATTACTCTAGAATAAGTGCTGAAAAAGATCCCACACTTGCCAAATTAAATGCATTATCCCAAAAAGTTTTGTAAGCACTTTAATTTCGATAAACATTCATATTTTTTTTGCTTAAAACTTAAACGTTGTATAACTTTCAAAAAAAAAAAATTTTTTTGAGTGTCATCATAATTAATAACAGTTTTTTATCAACATGAATGATATATGTCGAGGATAAAAAAATTAAAAGTACCTATCATGGAAAAACAGAGGTACCCCATTTGACCCGCCTTCCCCATTTTGCCCCACTCTCCCCTACTATTATAGGGTTACTATAGTACCACCATAGTTAGTATAGCGCTACTATAGTGCTACTATAGTACTACTATATTACTACTATAGTTAGTATAGTACTACTATAGTACTACTATAGGACTACTATACAGGGAAAGAAAAAGTCTAAAGAATATTTTAATGTTTGTATTAAAAAGTTGGACAAGAGTCACTTTTTAAAAATGTTTCAATACTGTATCTCAAATTAATATTCATAACAATTACAATAAAGTTTAAAGAAAATAAAGACAAATATGAATAAAACGTTTTATCATACGCAACATAAAGTTTCTTAGACATCTTGAAATAATTTTCAGGAAATCAAATAAATATTATAAATTGTCCATCTTGTCCAACTTTTCTATAATATATTAAAATATTCTTTAGACTTTTTCTTTCCGTGTAGTTAGTATAGTAGGGGAGAGTGGGGCAAGACGGGGTAGCGGGTAAGACGGGGTACCGGCCCTATTTAACAAACAAATTAACTAATCGCGATCATGTTTTACATAATACTACACCGAGACGATAATTTCTTGTTTACAAAACCTAAAAGCCATGAGAACAAATCTTTTATCTGTTTTACTAAAAAAAATGTTTTCGACGATTTTCTTGTCGTTTTTTCACTTTTTTTAGGAGGTGTTTATTATTTAATAATAACAGTTAATGAACTGTATAAATTTTTTTCTAACTGTCAAGGGTTACAGAAGAAGGGAAGCATATGTTTTTTTTTGTTGAATCGTAAATTGTAGTAATTAATCGTTTTATTCAATTTCGTAGGTGCGGGCAAGATGGGGTAGGGGAGAGTGGGGCAAGACGGGGTTCACAAATTAAGCAAAAAAAAAAAAAAGAGAAATAAGAGAAGTTAAGAAAACTACTTAAATCAAGACTGAATAAAATAAAAGTGGCCAAAAAGAAAAAAGTTTGTCAGGTTAAATCATCAATTAGCGATGGTAAAGTGGAAAATAGGGTAAAGTGCGGATAGATGCCCCCCAATTCGAAAATTACATCTAAATTCAATAAATATTAATATTTTTAATTGAATATTCGATTTTTATACACTATTACTATATAGCATTAACATATTTAAGGACTAAATACCTACAATAAATAATAAATTAATCAGAACGAAAATACGAAAGGTCTGCATTTGGCCATATATCCCACCTGGGTGGGTTAGACGCCCCATGCGGTAAGGATAGATGCCCCCGAGAGATTCAATGAAACTATTAGTAATATTTATTGAAAAATTATGTATTTAAATTTTATATTACTAATAAATATACTTTTAATGTTTTAAATGTAATCCCACATAGCACAATAGTATGAGGTAAGGTTATGTTGAGTACTAATCGTAAGGCTCATAAGGTTACACGATATTGCTGTGGTAGACCTGAGGTGAACTAAAAACTTCCGCCATGGAGGTAAGGTTACATGTTAGAGTGTGGTAAGTATATATGATAAGGCTATGGTAACCTTACACGTTAAGGTTGAGATATCCTTACACGTTAAGGTTGATGTAACCTTACACGTTAAGGTTGAGGTAACCTTACACGTTAAGGTTGAGTTAAGGTTATATGTCAAGGTTGAGGTAAGGTAATTAATAAGTTGTAAGGTTAAGGTAAGGTTGTGATAAGTTTACCAGTTATGGAAAATATGGACAAAATAATTAAAAATATAATAAATAAATATTAAATTAGAAAGTTAAGTTTGTTGCTCTTCTCTATTTTGGAAACCTGACATGAAGCAGAAAATTTTGAAAACAAATTTGGGGGGACTGGGATTCGAACCCGGGATCGACGCGCATAAGCCTAACATCCTAACTAACTGAGCTAAGTGGAGAACTGGTAGCAAGAAAATTAATTTTGCCTTTAAGGAGTTAATCATATTCTTGGTTCACCTTAAAGGCAAAATTGATTTTCCTTCTGACAGTTCTGTACTTAGCTCAGTTAGTTAGAATGATTGGTTTATGCGCGTCGATCCCGGGTTCGAATCCCAGTCCCCCCAAATTTGTTTTAAAAATTTTCTGCTTCATGTCAGGTTTCCAAAATAGAGAAGAGTAACAAACTTTTAACTTTTTAATTTAATATTTATTTATTAATTATATTATTAATTATTTTATCAATATTTTCCATAACTGGTAAACTTATCACAACCTTACCTCAACCTTGACATATAACCTTACCTCAACTTTAACATGTATCGTTACCTCAACCTTAACGTGTAAGGTTACCTCAACCTTAACGTGTAAGATTACATCAAACTTAACGTGTAAGGTTACCATAGCCTTATCATATATACTTACTGTAGTGATTTCTAAAGTTAAAATTATATTTGAAATAGAAAGCAAAGTTTTTTTTGTGTTTATTAAACGGCGCCGGATCGTCGCCAAAATGTTTATGCCGATAACGCATAACCAAAGCAATCTCAGTGGACAAAAGTGGTGTGATTCGATTTCGGAGAATGCACGTGGAACTTTTGAACACTGTATGCAAGAGTGAAATAAGAATATGAAAATTAAAAAAAGAGAACACGACTAGAGACTCATGGCCTGCGATGCAAAGAGACCATGAGTCAGTCGAGTTTTTGGTAACAGAGAGTAAAGATCTTTTTTATGATTGATTAAATTTATCTAATTCCTTTGTTCTTATGTCAAATGTATAATTCCTTTTTCCAGTTTTATATTAATAAACTAAAATTCGAACTAAATTAATTATTTTGGAATTTGAATCCTACATTACCACACCCTAACATGTAACCTTACCTCCATGGCGGAAGTTTTTAGTTCACCTTAGGTCTACCACAGCAATATCGTGTAACCTTATGAGCCTTACGATTAGTATTCAACATAACCTTACCTCATACTATTGTGCTATGTGGGATACTGATGAAAAATCTTATATAATTATAAAAGTTACTTAAGAAATTAATTTTTGGTAAAAATTATTTTTTGAGATTATTTTAACGACACTTATTGCAATAATCTTCATAAGATGTGCAATTCTTATGGAGCCATTTTTTACATGAAATACATTGTATCCAATCAGCGGATGATCTGGTTAAAAAATACAATTCTTTACCACCACTTTCTTCATTCGTGGAAGAAACACCCTTTTTTTGTTCTTCAATACTGTTTTTTTTATCTTCTTTGGTCGACCAACTTGTGCTTTTTTCGATTTCCTCTTTCTATTCTCTTTTTCTTCATTTTTTTAAGAATCTCCACTTCTCTATTTCGTTTTTTTGTATTTCTTGAACATCGTTTAGAATTTTGGACCCTTGCTTCTGTCGTTTGGAACGTACGTTTAACACAACGGGCACTGGATTTATCACAGATAATATTTTTGCCGGATTATCACATTGGCTTGCTGATGGTGCAGGTACATTTTCAACCTAGATTAATTGAGATTCATTAATAGCTGTTCTTTCAGACGAAGCAGATACAAGATTGTTAGGATTTACTACATCACTTACGTCGGGTATGTCACCAGTCGCTTCTTCCAAAGTCTCGGTGTCAACTGATCTATTGGCTGCATCAGAAATCTCAAAATAGTGATCGGGAATAATGTTTGGATTAAATGGATGAATGCCGCAAGCTCTGAAGCCATTTATAGCATTTGAGGGAGTGGTAGCACGAATCCATGCAGAACCAATCAGTTTACCAGATTGATACCTGTTAATTCTCTTTTCTTTATTGTTTATCATCCAATTTCTCAGTTCACTTGAAAAATATGTTTTGAAAGGTTTAAAAAACGATTTATCCAAAGGTTGAAGACCATGAGTTGAATGGCTAGGAAGGCCAAGAAGAATCACGTCATTCTCTTTAGCTACTTCCAGAGTGTTCAGGCTGACAGTGTGCGAAGAATGTCCATCGAGAATTAATAAAACTTTACCTGCAGGCTTTCGTGGAATAAAATGTTCTGTCAGCCATTTATAAAATAGATCTGTGTTGATGTAGGCAGACTTTTTATTCATATAAGCATCGGATCCTGGCGGAAGTCCATCCAGAAATTCGTCTTTTTTGTATACTCCCTTTAGTATGATGATTGGAGGCAAAAATCTACCTTCCGCATTATTACAAGCAACAACAGATATGGTTTCTCCTCTTTCACTCGAAGTAACTTGTTGTACTAATTTGGCACCTTTAGTGACCACAACTTTCTCGGGTTTGTTGTTCATTTGAACTCTACTTTCGTCCATATTGAATATTCGTTTTGGTTTTCCTATTACATCGTTGGTTATTAGGGTATGTTCCAACAAGTCAAAAAATTTTCCTATCTCCTCTCTATTGAATCCCACGGGTCGTGCACGAGATATTCCTTCAGCTTGCCTGACACTTAATTGCTTGTTTCTTTCTAAAAATGACAACAGCCACTGCTTATCGGCCAATTTTGTAACCTCGTTGAAATTGTGTGATATTTTCAACTTCACGGCTAGCTGATATGCCATTCTCCGAATATCCATACGAGTGCAAGGAAATCCAGCTTTCTCGAGATTTTTTATATGGTCAACTAATTTTTTTTCATTTTCGTATCCTAGAATGGGTCCTTTTCCCAAATTATGTTTTGTTAAGTCTGCGTTTTTCAAGCGTCTACGTAATGTGCGGGACGGAATACCAAACTGCTTTGCTGCTGTCTTTGTTTTCATACTATTTGATTCAATTGCCTTTATAGCTTTTGTCAGTGCTTCCTCAGTCCACGTTACTGTCCGTGGTACTACACCTACTTTTCGCTTATAAATTCGTGGCATTCTGTAAATAATATAACCTTATAATATAATTATACATTGTAGATAAAAAAAGTAACTAAAAAAACATTTAGAATGAAATATATTATTCTCAAAAGAAAATATTTTCAAATGAAAAAGGTTCAATATATCAATAAAAGTAACAGTTTATTCAAAAGCACAAACTTCAATTTTGAATATTAAAATCAACAAACTTTAATAGATGAATATATAAAAAACACTTTAAATCATCTTTTACAAAATGTGAAGTCTAAAATGTTACATATCACAAATAAAATTTTAAGTTATAAAGGTCGTATAGTGTAACATTACCTCTAAAAAGCACTTTAATTTAATATTTATCTGCACGTTTATGTGATTGATTTACTTTTATTAACAGTAAGTTGAAATTTGTCTGTCTTTAAAACTAATAATCGATATATTAGTAATCACAGAAAATAAATTTATTAACTTACTTGAAAAATATTCAACGTTGTTATACAATCAGTTTTATTTTTGTCATAGATAAAATTAAAATTAGTTTTTTTTTAATTTTCGAATGATTAATCTATTCATAAATCTATTTAAAAATACTCTAATTGAAGAACATTAAATAATCTGACATATGAAATCACTTTTAATCCGATAATCTGCAATAATCGTAACTGTTTACATTTCACCAGTAGCCCAGATAGCAATCGTGCGTCGCACGTCTCGCATTTTACGTGCAGGTCACGCAGTGATGGTCATAAAGCATACATTTTAACTGCATGTGTGATAAGGCTAGTACAGTGCAAGCATAATGCCTGCTATTTTACTGATGTTGAGTGCGTGTTACAGCTCACGAGTGTGAAGGCATAATGAAGGCTTAATGCCTTCATTTCAATTACAATAATAAATAATAATATATTATTATTTCAAATTATTTAAAATAAAAAATTGTTTAGAAATTGAATCTTATAAAATTAGGAATTATGAAACTTGAAAAATTGTTTTGTAAATATAATTTTATTTATTGTTGCCCGTTTTAAGAATATTAAATGTTTGATTGTTTATTATAAAAAATTCGAAAATTGTGAAACAAAAGAGATGAATTTTTTTAGATCATATGTGAAATTTATACCAATCAAAATTAATTTTATTTATAGGAGTAACAATTTTTTTGCTATTTTTTAGAACCTAAAATCATATTTTACTATGAAAAAAATAATTTATAGGTAACTATTTTTTTATTATTTATTATTTTTTTTCATTTTTTTTAAATAATTAAAAATTTTATGCACAGACTTGATTGTTTCAAATCATGGAAAAGTGTATAAAAATCGTCGGCAATCACACAATATAATAAAAATCTTAAGAACAGTTTAAATATTATAAGTTTTCGAGTAATGTAATTTACCCATGTACCCGGTAATATTACACTGATTCCAGTCATATTAAAATATCCGGCTGATGGTAATATTGCCTATTAATATATTATAGTAATTAACAGTAAATTACACGCTTATGAAAAAATTGCAAAAAAGTTTTTTCTTATGATTAAATAAGAAACAAATTTCTTGTTTCTTTATATTAGATATGCATTTTAGAGCTATTTTCATTTCTTATCCTATGATTTAAATTAATGAAATTTTTTATTGCGTATTTTACAAAAATTGTCCAAGTAAAATTTGCTTAAAATGTTTAAATTTTATTATATAATTTGTAATGTTATTGATATTATTAAAATTTAAAATTATAATAATAGAAATAAATTTATTATTTATAGTTATAAATTATAATGTTTATTATTATTATCAATAAGATCAATAACGTTACAAATTACTTAATGAAATTTAAACAATTTATGCAAATTTTTGTTTTTGTAAAATTTCAAATGTTCGCGGTATTAGTCACTGCGCAGGTGCTACGCGCAACTCCGTAGCATCTTTCGCTCTATACTACTCTTCCGGCTTCCGCACCATCAGACCCATCAAACACGTTCCGGCTAAAAGCATAAATACGCAGGTTTGTTGCTTGTTATTTTCGGTAAGTACTTATTTTGTGATGGTGACAATTTCTAATCGCAGATTTTGAGGTTTTAGTTTTAGCATTCTATGATTGTGAACAAATCTTTGTAAAAGTTTTTATTGCATCTAATTGTGGTAAGTTAAAATCGTTAAAAGTTGCATGCTTTGTGTATATAAACATAACCTTCAATTTTTTCTACATGAGGTACATGCGTGAAAAAATCACACAATCATTTTCATGTTCTGTAGTGGTTTTACCTTTTTAATCCTCTATTTTTATTTCCATACTTTTCAAGTTCTTCAAATACTAAAATTTCAAATAAATTTTTTTAAATTAAATCTCTGTTACTATGTATTAGTTTTAATATTTAGAAATAATTATTAATACTTATAGTAAATATTTAAATTATATTTTGTTTCTCATTCGCGCACAATATTTTTTTAATTACGAAAGAATAAATTTTTTTGTTCATTTGACCATTCAGAGAAATATAGAGACGTTATTTCTTTGAATAGTTATATTTTTGTAAAAATTATAATGATTGTCGATATTTTTTTCTATTGTAGAATTTTTGTAAGCACCATTTTTTTATAAATACCTCTTCATTTTTGCTTCTTTTTTTGAAAATATAATTTCCTTTCTTTCTTTGCATTTATAATGGTTCTTATTTTTAATTGGTTTTTAATTTGCAATTTTGGTGGTATTTAACGTTATGATATATGTACGCTTATTTTTATTTCTACAGTTTTTTATTATTTTTTTTCAATCGGTCTTTTAATAAAAAATCATTTATTTTAAAAAATTCAATATTTTCTAAAGTATTGAAGTTTGTCTTTATTACTCATTCAAATTTTTATTAGTGGATCAAAAGAAATTAAGTAGTAGATTTTTATATAAATAATATATATTTTTTTAAATAGTAGCGTACATCACTTCCATCAAAGTTTGCTCGTTCGCCGTGCCACAGTGGGATTTTTTAACAAATCACTGTTCAAAATTAATGTCTACAGTCCACGATTTTTAACCGATTCCAGTGTTTTTTGTTTTAAATTCTAACTACCTAAAAAAATCCCATTAATTTCTAGCAAAACAGTTTTGAGTTTTTAATTTTTTTCTCAAACGATGCAAAAATTTGTTATAAAAAAAGCAGGGCAGATAAAAATCATGTTTTTTTTAAATCAAAACAATCCGATTGTTTTGATTTAAATCGGATTTTTTTATTTAAATCATTTTTTCAAAAATATTTTTTAAATATTTATTCTTAAATTAAAAATTGAAAAATTAATAATATTAGGGTGGCTGCAAAATTTAATTTTCAGAATTCCCTGACTTTTCCTGACTAATTATTATTTATTTTTCCTGATTATCAAATTTTTAAATATTTTAATATTCTTCATTGCTAACTAAAAATTAAATAATAATTTTTAAGTAGCAATTTTATTTATAAAGAAAAAGAAGATATTTAAAAATTGTTTGTTTGAAAAATTTTAATGTGCTTGAAACTTTCATTATAAAAAAATGAAAGCAAATTTATAATTAATTTAAATCGTGCCAATGTCCATGTATTAAATATAATCAAAGTTTTTTAATTTGTGGTTTTTTATGATTTATATTCCCTGATTTTCTACTGATTAAAAAAATTCTATGATTTCCATTTTTTCTCTAACTGATATTTAATGCTTTTTTGGCTCAAATAATATAAAATACTGGTTTTTCATCTATCACTAACTTTTGTCAACTAAACAAAAAAATATAATTATTATATTCTGATATTCATTACATTATCACTATAAAATATTCTTTTTTACTTTTTTGAATTCTAAACTTTAAACAAAAATACTAATTTTGCAGCCTTTTGGTTACTAATTCATTTCACAGTATGTTTTAAATCATGATTTAAATGACAAGATCAAACGTTTTTTAGCTTTAATTATTTTTAATATATTTATTGGTTACCATATGTTTGACTATTATTTATATAATACTAAATTTTAATTGAACGAGACATATTTCTTTATTTAGTTGTAATATCATTATATACATTTACCATATTAACTTTCTAAAAAATGTATCCCCTTTAAGTTAGATTTTTTTAAATTGTTTTTATCTTTTTGTCAATATTATTATTTTTATTTCTATTTTCAGTCATTTTAGTTTTCTTTAATCTGATTATTTTATAAATACATTTAATAATAATAATTTATTTTTTATAGTTTGTATGTATTAAATGTATATTTTTACATAAATATTTTGTAAAATTGTTTCAGCTGCTGCTAAACAAAGTCGCAACTTTGAGGGTCCTAAGGACAAAACCATATTTAAAACCCACATGTTGGAAGTTTTACGACATACGAAACAGCGATTCCGCAATCTACTAAAAAAGGGAATTTAGATGAAGATGCCTTGAGAAAAGAAATTGAAGAAATGGAAAGAGAACAAGAGACTGGCAGTGAGAATGAAAATTCCGCAAATTATAACAGCGAAGAAGATGCTGATGATGAGTCCTAAACTTGAAAGATTATTTATAAAAATATACATATAATTTACTGAAAGTTACTTTTTTATATAAATAATATAATGTTTTTCATTTTCGTCAAAATAATTTAATATTGATGTTTATTAATTTTAAGAATAAATATTTTTAAATTTTAATTTATATTTACGCATTTTTATTTATTAAATCGATTTTCAAGCTTCATAATTTAAAAATTAATTTTTTTAAAACAATTTAAATATTCTAGACAAGCATTTTACAGTCACGCGTGCAACATTCACGCTGTGTGCCCCCTATGCGTCGCATATGAGGACGCAGCTGCGTGCTCAAATGAAGTCACGCCGTGTAGGTTAATCAGCACGCATGCGAGCGATATGTCTATCATTGTACGCGCATTTTGCTATCTGGGTAGGTTATGTGCAGCCATGACAGTGGGCATCTATCCCCTCCAAATAGGGGGGCGTCTATCCTCTTTGGAACCGATAGTTGCCTCCTTATTAATTACAATAATTATTATAAA